ATTAGAAAGTTAATGGAGTTCTAACGGATCATGTCTCAAATAAATCTCTTGTTTAATGAATAAAAAACTCCATGTTGTTTTGTCATTGGTTAAAACTTTCTTTTATAATTAAGCACAACTTGGTGGGCCATGCTCGCGATTTGGGCAATCTTAAAACGATAATATTGGCATCACTTCAATCAACAACAAAGTTAAAAAAAAGCATGATTAAGGCCCTAAATGGTGTTTTATATTAGATGGTGGAAACCATTTACAACAACAAGAAGAAGAAACCCATTGTTAAGTAGACACTTGTTAATTAATCAAACATGACTGGGTGTCTTCTTTCTTCTTCTTCTTGAGAGAGAGAGAGAGAGAGAGAGAGAGTTGCTCCTTGTAGGTCCAATGTCAGAAATTGGAAATTGAGGTGGTCCCCATTGTGGAGGGCGGGTCCTACCAAGAGTTTGTTCAAATAGAGAGGAACCAATTAGACGCGCAGCTTCACATGTCTAACCCTTCATCAGTGGAGAAAACCTTGTGCCTATGTCACCCGTACTACAACATAATATGTTTACATACGGCTTCCAAGCCATTGCTTCAGTCTCTGCTCTCCCTCTTATGCAGCATGTTTGATCCATGTTTCAACTTTTTATGTCCAATCGCTTCTGTTTCGGGTTTTATTGGTTACCAATCTTGTTAAATTAATTTAGCAACCAAACCCAAAATGACCTTGTTTTCTTCTTTTTTTCGGTTACATTGGGAGGAAAGGAATCTTGGAGTTTCAATCTTGGGTGCCAATCAGAGGAGAAGGGTAGGGCCACAACCACTGTGGTAACCCCGCTCGACAATGACCTTCTTTTCATTTGTGAACATAAAAACTCTAAAAATTCAAAGAGAAAACTGCAAAACTTGATTATGGGGTGGATTCTTCTTTTTTGTATAAATAGTAAATTTGGAATAAATAAATAGTAATTACAAAGAAGAAACAGAAAAGTACTTGCAAGGTGAGAAACCAACCAATAATTAGTGCTGAGTTTAATTCAGCGACCACTGTTTCCAACCAACAACACAGTTACACAACACAAGCTAAGCCTATATATATATATATATATATATATATATGAACTCTTCAACTTTATGGTACACAAGACATGTACATTGAGAAGATCTGAGTTGCGGAGGTACACTTTGCTTTTTGAATGAGAGCAGCTCCCCTCCTTGAGCCCCCCCATACAGCTGTTTGGCCTGGAATTTGCAAACTTCCTCAAGTGTCAAAAGAGTCAAGACTGAAACTCAAAGTGAGAAAGACCCAAAGGGCAAAATCATTGGATCCAATTAATAAAGCGAAAAGGTTGTTAGGTTTAAGTAGAAATTGATCATTTCAAACTAATTAATGCAGAAGATATTACTAATCCCAAATCCTAAATCTATGTGCATGTATTAGTATAATAATTCATCAGGCCCCCCAATAAACTCTTTTTTATGTTCCAAGTTAGGGACCCACGTAAACTATACATGAATGGGCCATCACAAGTCACAACTATCATCTCCTACCTGCTTGTATTACTAATTGACATGCTCCTTCAATGAAGGTATCTCTATCTCTACTCTTAAGAAAAGAAAAGAAAAGAAAAGAAAAGGATCACTATCACTACATGATGTGGGGCCATATCCCAATGCGATTCAGTGATTCAAATCGTCTACTTTTTATCTCGTTAAACATCATTTTTGCAAAAGAAAAAAAGTAAATCCAAATGCTTTTTACTTAAGTAAGTAATTACAATAGAAGAACACAATAATTTTTCTAAATATTTTCAACAACAAAGAAAACCCCCATATGATAAACCATGATGGACTGATTGACTTTTGTTAACCCTAGCATATCTAGGTCATATTTAAGCTTTGTAATGGCAGTAATCATGATTAATTATCCAGACCACAAACACAAACATGATTAACTATGAAAATCTAACGGTCGAAAAAAGAACGCAAGCTTTCACTCGAAAGGTGATCCAGATGATGATGGGGATCGGATCGAGGAGATTTTTCTTGTATGGGAAAATTTGACTAAGGGAATGGAAACGGAGGAGAAAGAGGAGACAAGGTGGGCCAGGTTTGGAGTTGTGATGAAGACTTGGGTGAAGGGAGAGAGAAAGAGGCAAGGCAACTTAGGCAACTCAGGCAAGGCAAGAGGCTGCTTTTGAAAACAATAATAATCAATAGATTAATTAACATGGGGTATGAGTTTATGCTCCTTGAAGTGGGAGATTACGAAAGCCAACTTCTTGTCTCTATTAATTTTTCTCTCGTAGTTAGTAAGATTCGGAGAGATCTCTCTCCCCCAAATCCCCCAAAGCAAAAGTAAATCATTCATTTTCATTTGTTTGATTAATTAAATATATGGATTTCAACGTCAATCACGCAAACATCCTAAACAATTATTCATCATCAACACGTAATGGTAGGGCCCCAACCCTAAGTTGTAAACACACCTGAACCCAACCCTTGTACGACTAGCTCATAGCTTGAGTTAAGAGCTTCCCATGTTGACTTTATTCACAAAACTGCCATCATTACTATCACTTTTGGTTGCGAGCACAACTTAGAATGTGAAGCATGCGTATCTAAAGCTAGATATGGAAGATAAGTAGATGGTGACACGTGGGCCATGCAAGGTGAGGAGGCACACTGACGGTAAGAGATCTCAGTTCAATCTCCTAAACATAACATGGGGCCCAACCAACCCAAGTGCCAAACCTATGTAAGATTTGAGTTGCCAATGCCATGCATGAAAGTTTTGACTTTAATAAGAAAAAGAAATTGTATTGGTGGGTGGTGTCGGCTCCTGAGATTGAGCACTTCGGAGCCATCTAGCAGGACCATGAGATAAGGGTAAAATTGGAAACTCAAGTAGAACACAGAGAGAGAGAGAGAGAGAGAGAGAGAGATGAATGTTACAAGTTTTCTAGGCTTCTAGCAGTTGAAGGAGCAGTTGGGGTCAGGGGAAACACAGAGAGAAACGGGCTTCATGTTGCGCCATTGGGTTTCGTTCCACTGCATCTGAGCCTCAGAGTACGAGATTACAGAACTACTCAAGTTTTCAAATGCGGAAAGCTTTGTAGTTTGTACTTAATCAAAAAACAATGTCATTATGTACGAAAATGAAGATCGAACTTGGATGGAAGAAGACGAGTATATTATTTTAGCCAATTGACTTAACTCACATATATAATTTAAAAAATATATATATATATAAATTGGAAAATGATCAGAAATTATGTATGAAAAAGATATATAGGAATAGTAATAAGGAAAGAGATATATAGGAATAGGACTACTAGGTAGGAGAATAAGAATATGAGTGTTAGGAGAAAACTGGCACATATAGCGATAGGAGGGTAAGACGTGTCGCCAACTGAGTTTTTGTTAAGAGTAGAGAGGTTTGAGAGATTCTCTTTGGCAAAGGTTTCTTAATTTGATCAAACATTGGCTTTAGCTTTGGGATTGGTCATCTTCTCCAAAGTTCCCATCATCATCACTGACTGAAAGCAATCCAGTGATGGCCCATTAAGTTAACATCCAGACTTTTCTAACCTAATTTTTTCCTCTGTATGGCTGCTAATAATTTATAATGGATGGACTAACGAGTGATCATCATTCATCATTGAGTCAGTCCTCTAATTGAACGGCTCAAATAAAATGAAATATTTCACAATAAATTCAAAGAAAATGATAGCCAATTACAAATCTGGTTGGTACAAGTTAAGCTAATTACATAGCTTTGCTTGGCTATAACTTTTAACTTATAAAAGGACCACAGAAAGATAACAAAGAAAAATGGAAGTTGAGCTCTCTTTGGTGGAAAACAGTGGACAAGCTAGCTCAATCATGTAGCTTTTATTTATTTAGGGTTTTATATATATATATATAAGTCCAACAGTGTACCATGCTCGCATCACATGCAACATCACATTCTTTTATCCTCCTTTGAAGACACAAGTGACAAAAACCTATATATATATATTTCTCTTCTATTAAGTGATTCCTCATATATATATATATAAGTCCAACAGTGTACCATGCTCGCATCACATGCAACATCACATTCTTTTATCCTCCTTTGAAGACACAAGTGACAAAAACCTATATATATATATTTCTCTTCTATTAAGGGATTCCTCAAATAATTTTGTTTAAGAGACCCCCTTTAAGGTACTCTACAATTATTTTTCCAATGATCCAAACCATCTATTTTTTAGGTCTTCATTCATAGATCATTCTTACAAAAAATTAGACAAATCGTAAACCATTTAAACATCTAATTGTATCTTATAAAATCAATGAACACGGTGCTTCAAGAAAGTACTAAAATTTCAATAATTTAATTAAGTAGTCAAATGATATTGGATTCAAGTGATTTTTTCAGAGATAATCTTGGAATGAATATATACAAAATATACGGTTTGAATTAATGAAATATAATGTATGATGGGCTCTACAATAGTGTTCCTCAAATAAGTTTGTTTGAAGAATCCCTCAACTGAAACTTACTGTATATATATTTGGTGATTGAGTAAACAAACAAATAAATAAACAGTGAATCCATTTTATTCTATTCTTATGGTTTGAAAGTCCCCTCATGTGAAGCAAAGGGCATTCTTGCACTTTGACATGAATATATTGGGAAAAAGAAAAGGGTTCGAAAAAAATGAAAAAGAAGGAGAATTGGCAAGACAACAAGTGCAATCGTTTGGGCCCCCGAGCGTCCTTGGGTCGTGTTCCCATAACTCTCACTTTCTTCCCCTTGGGATGTCCGCAACCGCAACCATCTCTCTCTCTTTCACAAAGTGTCTCTGTAGCTAACACACACATATAATATATATATATATATATATATATATATATATGTATATTATGATAAAATACATCATCAGCATCATTAAAGATTAATTCAATTCAAGACCCTTTTTTTGTTATCCTGTGTATAAATACCCCAACACATGCACAACTCCCCCTACATCCCCATTTCATTCTCTCTCTCTCTCTCTCTCTCTCTCTCTCTCTCTCTCTCTTCAGCTCCCCTCATCACTTCAATTGAATTCCCAACTTTCTTTCTCTGCTTTCTTTCTGTCTCTGTCCCTGTTTCTAAGAAAACAAGCAACATGGCTGAGGCTGCAGAGCTACACTATCAACCCAAACCAACCAACACCACAAACCCAACAAGTTCTAGCAACAACCCAACAACACGCTTAAAGCTTTTTGGCTTCAATGTCCAAGACGACGATTTAGAATCTTCCGTACTCGACTCCACCAAGACTTCCACCCCATCTGGTTCACCGGAATCCGGCGGTTTTTCCACCACCGGCGACCGTAAATACGAGTGCCAGTACTGCTGCCGAGAATTCGCCAACTCCCAAGCCCTCGGCGGCCACCAGAACGCGCACAAGAAAGAGCGCCAGCAGCTCAAGCGAGCTCAGCTCCAAGCCAGCCGAAACGCCGCGGTTTCATACGCCCGAAACCCCATCATCTCCGCCTTCGCGCCGCCGCCTCACCTACTGGCCCCGGCCGGGTCGGTGATGGTCCCGGCGGCCGCTCCGGCCAGCCCGTCCTGGGTCTACGTCCCGCGCGCGGCCACTCCGTTCCACGTGTCGCATGGATGCGTGTTTCCCGCGGCAGCCAATCACGGAAGGGGTGCAGGGAGTTATTCGTATGGGGGCAGTGTAGCGGATTCGACATTGACGTCATCAATGGGGCCCCATCATCAGGTACTTCAACAAGGCCGGGCCCACGGAAGAGCGGATGGGCCATCGTTGAGTAGGTTTACTAAAGGAGATGGTGGGCCCAGTTTTGATGATGCATTGGGCTTGGACTTGCATCTTAGCCTTTGACTCGGTTAAGCAAGGCTCGGCTTGGCTCGGCTTGAAAAACGACATGGTGTGTGGTGGCCTTTATAATATGTTGCTCAGATCATGAGGTGGAGGTGGGAAGCTAATGTTTATTTTGGTAGTGGGACCTTTGTACATTTTCAAATTTTATTTAATTTATTTAATTTTTAAGAAAGTAATTTCAGGGGCATATATATACATTGCTCTCATTCTATTTCTGGTTTTTTTGTTTTTAAATCTCAGTAGGTCCAATTATGTCTGTATATACGAGTAGGTAGAAACTCGGAATCCCACTAACAAGTTAGAATGATGGAAGTGGGACCTCCAAATTTGTTGACTCTTGAGTTGTCGACAAACACATAAGGAGTTTAATGCGCGTACCTAATTAGCTCGACTTAATTTTTCATAATTTGAGTGGCCGACATGATTGATATGTGCTAATTTATGATTGATATGTTGTAATAAATTAGCATATGTTACAATAAATTAGGATATGTTGTGATGCATGTTCTTGACATGAAACAAGAAAAGGAATTGGACGTAAATGGAAGTTCCTTGCGGCAATCTGAAATGAGGGTCGTTCTCATGTAACAATTATTTACTGGATTTCAGAACAAGAATAAAAAGATGAGGGAATTTTCTTTCTTGGGCATATGCCATGTACTTTACAATGTGAACATTAAGTAGTTCATATTGATAAAGCGAAAGAGATAAGTATGCATGCCAACCATATGGTGTTGACTACTCGAGTGAGTGATCAACAGATCTTGACACCATAATTATATTCAGATTTTTACCAATTAAAAAGAATTAATACATCTCACACACACCAATCTAATTTGATAAAAGTCTTCTTTATATATACTTTAGTCCTTTCTCTGTATATCCCATCTCATTCTTTAGGAGCTAGCTCTTCAAGTTTTGAAAGAATACCAAAAATCATGGCTAAATTACTCGCATAAATATATATATCGAGATATTTCCACATGTCTTATGTATATTGAATGGTACACTAGAATATACTCGCATATATATATATATATATATTCGCTTCAGTCATGTCTTTCTCCATTAATTATATATGTGTGTATATATACAAATATATGCTCCCTTCACTCTTTGTTTTGTCTGAGACATGAAAGCATGGGCTTAGGAAAAGACAAGTCTCTGTGAATTGTGTTGTGTTGTGTGATATGATTCCAAATTAAACGACACCAGTTGCTGAGTTTGCAGATAGAAAACCTTATTATTCTGTATGTAATTAACAATTCGCTGACAACATGATCAACTTATTAGGCAGCAAACTACAGGGTTCGGTTACTAATGAATTAAATTGGGTAATTCTTCCTTTTTTCTTAATTACAAATCATTGTAAATCAAATTACTGTATGCAGAAATGCTGTTTATTTGTTCAAAAATGGAGGTTATCATTATTTCAGGAGTTTCTAGTCACAAAAAAACTCCAACTAACCCATTGATGGTTTGTTGGTGCCTTCTTTTCATCTTGACTATGTGGTGATAGAAATGTGGGACCAATCACATGCAGACCAATCTCCCACAACTGATAGAAAAATCAGTGGTTTGATTGGATAAGCTCAAGTTAACACTAGCTAGGTTTAAGTCAAAGACTAGAATCTTTCAATGTCCCCTATAATTATTAAGAGATTAATTTATTATTAATCAGGTTAGCCGCTGAAGTCTAATGGAGGTTAATTGGTTTTCTGATGTCCAACCAGGAGAGAAGAGCAGCAGCATAGATAGTGTTGTAGACAAGCGTTTTAATTTAGTAATTACAATCTTAGCAAGTTGGGAGTCTCTTGTGGGTAAAACAAACCGAAGCTTACGTGTTAGCACGAAAACAAAATAATGCATGCCAAGCAAGCAATATATACATATATATGCATCATTGGTTCTAGGGTTTCTTCCCACAAAGCTTAAGTTGCTTGGTCAAAAGGTAGGTGGCACTCCCAAAAATGGTGCAAATTGAAGCCTCTAGAAAGTCGTTGCCTTTTGCACCCAATAACATGAACAAAGGGCACCCAACAAATAAGCTAACTTGGGTGTTTAAACTTTGGTGGTGGGTGTGCTCATCATAACTTTGGTTCAGGTGGGACTAGCTTAGAGAGTTAGATTTCTACAAAGATAATTAATGAAGAATGTGTAAAGTATTGGATGCAGAAGGATTTAATTGGATTGGATGCTTTTAGGGTTTTCCTTTATATATATATATTGTTTGTTTGTTGTTGGCATGAATTTTTTGGGGAGAAAATAAAGGAGCAAATTAAGATGTATATATATATATTCATAGATTTGAAAACTTATAATACACTTGAAAAAAAAGGTCATTAATTCTTCCTTAATTTAGAGGAGAGCTTTTTGACAATAATAACCAAAAGAGTAGTTGGTGAGGCATAATAACATAGAAAATCAAACTCACTCCCGCGACTTTGCCCGAACCAATATATTATCTTTCGATTGGGCCCCATTTTTAACTTCATTTATGCCATGAAGCTTGATTTCGACATCCACTTCACCTTACAAAATTACAAAATTACTCTCTCTCTCTCTCTCTCTCTCTCTCTCTCTCTCTCTCTCTCTCCCCTAATTAATCACCAGCTAGCTAGCTAGATAGAGAGAGTCACCCTCCACTTAAGTTTGATCCAAGTATATAATTTAAAATCCAAATTAAACCCCAGGTGATTAGAGTTTAATTAAGTATCGTCTCAGTTCCTAGTCACCATGATCCAATCAAGTTTTGGCACAGTTAAATAATGCACGCCTTCAAATGTGACAAATCAAGCATGCTAATTAGCCCCCCGAAAGTAATCCCGGGGCCATGGAGTATGGTTCTCAAATCAATTAGATACATTTCTAGCCATGTGATTATCATCTCTGCCTTGGTTACATCTAATTGATAGAGAGAAAAATTGAAGATAAGCAGTCCTTTTCTTGTAAGTTGTACGAGTAGAGTCCAACCACAGGTCATCAACTCATCACTGACCTCTAAATGCAGCCATGTTTATATAATGGCTTGTGTTGGAAAATGACTTTCAACAACAAACCAACCAATCAACTTTCATTTCTGCGTGGGTCTTGGATAATGCATTGCCACCATTTATTTAACACCATTTACAAATGAAGTGGGGGGTTCATGTTTCAACAAATATCATATCCTTTTGGAATTTTACTGGTAAGATTATGTTAATCAGTGCATTAGTTTATGCATGCATGTGGTTGTGCAAACTCCTTTTTCTTTTCTTCTCAACTCGTAACGATATACAGACAAAATGATAATATATATATATATAACAGTGCATTAGTTTATTAAAGATACGGTGAAATTGAGTTTTAAAAAATAAAAAATAAATCGAAAACCTAATTATAAATTCAATATTACTAGTCCAAGTACAGATATTCCAATAATGAAGGCAACAAATTGAAATTAATTACTCTAAAGAATTCAGGATCACAAACTTCATAATCTTAAAAATGTCGTATACATAGTTTTACTTTAGAAATTCATTCACGTGATGAGAGAGATAGACTATAGAATCGGTAAGTACCGTTGAAGGAGGGAGATACGACTAGAGGGCTATAGCTAAGCTAAGGTAGTGAAGTCCGTGTTAAAAAAAATTAGCATTGATTTGATATATGCATGCATCTGTGTGAATTGGGTACACATAAGATGTGAAGTATGAATAAGTCCTAAATAGTACACATATATGAGTTTCTTGTGGCTTGTGGTGGGGCGCCATACAGCTGCAATGATCTCCTTGTCGGGGGTGCAAAATATATGTTAATGTAAGGGAGCATATAATATCTATCCACGACCATGATCTAAGCTCTAAGGTACAAAAGAACAAAATTACCAAAGTGTTTTCTCATATCGTATCTTGTTGTAGCGAAGCTAGGCTGGGCTCTTTTCATGCCTTTTTATAGAGGTAAGAGGTTCAATCTGAACCTAAAAAAGGACGCACGGATTTCCAATATAAAAGACTTTAAGTCCCACAAACTTGACACTTGACAGGGCATTCACTCTTTAGCTTTGCTTTTTTGTACAGTCCTGCATGTGCTCTCTCTCTCTCTCTCTCTCTCCCTCTCTCTTGTGTGCTGCACAAACCAAACCAAACCAAACTTTAACTCAACCATGCTTAAATAAAGTACTTCAAAATGCCACAGCAATGGATTTTGCATGTTGCATAAGCCTTTTCAAAAGATGTTATTTCTTAAAGATTACTTAGTCCATATCCTAGACTTTTGAGAGGGAATATTTACTTGCTGACTTGACTTCAAAGCAATTGCAATTAAATTACATACACAAAGAACAGAAGCATACAAAGACCGATTGAAGTCTAGGTGATGATAGTGAATTAAGCCAATTATTTCGATTTAAGTTACTTGTGAACATCGGGGCCACATCACATCAATCAAGATGAATGTCCTCTATATATAGTTCAAGCTGTTTCTTATTGACTGGGATTAGTGAACTTGAGGGATCCAAAGCTTGAGGTTCTCCCAAGCATATTTATTTAGTTTGTTCAAGAATGAATGGTTCGTGACTAGTTGTCAGAAATTGACCTTATTCACAACCATACTTGTTAATTGCATTTATATCATTTAACATGAATTCTCTTCAATTTTCAAATATTTACACTCCGAGCTCAAGCAAAATAATATTGGCCCTTTTGGAACTGTTTTTTGCCAAATACAGTCAACAACGTTTTTAATTCTTAGAAAGCGCTTTAACCACACTAGAAGCACTCCCAAACAAGTTAATAGACAGCTAGATTAAAAAGCTTTCCAAGCACCTTCCTAAAAGCTCTGTATGCTGGAAACAACAATTTGGAAGTACTTAGTTTGATGAAGATTTACACTTGATGATTTCTCCGAACTCTAAAATAAAACGTGAATGGGACCCGCCATGCATCGACATATATTATATAGTGTCCTCTTGTGAAAACTACTTGACATGCATGACAGATTGGTTTGGTAGGACAGTCCGAAAGTAACTCAACCATGAAACACCACCATCGTACAATAGGATACGACACATCAACTTTTTTAATTCTTGCAATGTTATGTTCCCATCGTAGCTAGCCCTCTGTAAATTGTAATGCTAATCCATGAAGCTCTCCAAGGAAAGGCCCCTAATTCTAATTGGTCTTTTAGAAAAGGATGGACAGCCTCTCCACTATGGCTATAGCTACTTTTAAACAGATGTGCAATGCAAGTCCCTACAAAGGCATTTTCTGCGAGGCTCATAGTCATAGCCTCGCTACGAACTACTTTAACAATGGAAACCAGACAAACCGAAGTGTTTAATGTTTGTACTAACTACCCCCAATCTGAAACCAGTTTGTATGTAGATGTGCACAGTGCATGGCATGGGGTCCT